TTGATTAGCTCTAAATGGTTGGAGGAATGATCTATCTGCTAGATGAGAAGGGGGAAGGGAATAACATCCCTTGTTGGGATTTATTTTCCAATTGTTTGAGGTTTCTTAGAGAGAAATATAAATTGGTTCATTTTGTTGACGATATTGAAAGTTTCCCTGCAATTATTGTTGAAGTTTGATATCTGATTGGCGAAATCAGGAGCTTTGTTAGACTTGCCATCAGTTTTTTTAGCAATTTGAGATGGGTCCCCTTCCTGATGAATTCTCTTGCGACCGATGCTAAAAGTTAGGGAAATTATTTGTAACTTGTTACTTGTGACATCCAAGCATTTATTATTTTTAATTCTTTTATTAAGTTTTATTGTATCTAAATGTATTTTTTTATACGCAAAACCTCTCTTACAATGGATAATAATAATACTTTAATTGAGGATTCATTACATTTTTTTCTTCGTGTCCCTTTCTAACTTTCCTATCTTTCACTTTTATGTAAATGTTATTATTTATGGAGTAGAAGACTAACATATCCATCGCGAATGAATAAAAAAAGGGTTCGTTGTCAACACCTTAATGGCTAGTGTTTAATATATATAACCGAAATTGACTTTAACAGAAGAAAATTTATAACCAATGCATCAGCACAAATAATTTCATCTAGATTGCGTTGAATTTATCTCATTATTTTATTTAGATTAAATGAAGCTACCCTAAATCCTATGCTAATTATAAATATTATCGTATTATTCTATAAAAAAAATTATTACAATCTTCATGTAACAATTTAAACTTTAAAAATAGTTAATGATTAAAAACTTGACTGAAAACCAAAATTCGATCGAGGCTAGTTCCTTAGATAGAATTTGATCTTTATATGCAAAACACACTTGAATTGCTTTTCATCAATTGCTTATGAATATTGTGGAACATGGGAACACTTTAGGTAGGTATCTTTAACTAATCACCCAGTACACCAAAAATTAAAACTATGGACATATACTAGTTATTTAAAAAGAATGCCTAAAATTACACGAGTTACAATATTTTCTAAAATCAAATTATAGTCCCTAAAAATGTGAATTTGTTATTATATACATCAAAAAGTTTTCCCTCACACATTAGCTAACACAAATGAGAGCCACTACTGAGTGTGACCAAGGTGCCACTCTACCATTGTGTATCATGGCCTCCTGGACCAACTAATGGTAAGTTCTATTATGTCTTAAAGCCTCTCTCACCAAGTTGCCATTCATTGCCACGTGTAACAAAACTAGCTCATCCCATTTTAACCAAACTTGCCTCATTATTATGCCAACTAGACTGATTTGCAAAGCGGGAAAATAGATAAGCCTCTTAGCTCATTGAAGGGGATGTAATTGAAGATGGTGACTCGCTGAAGTGCACTTGATTGATCTAAACAAAAGTTTGGAGAAATCTTGCATGGTTGGAGCTTCCATGTCCTAATTGGTGTTCCTAATGTGAAGGTTCTTCACCCCTTTTGGATCTTACCTTCGTTGGTGTTGGTGATATGATGCAAAATCTAATAGAGGAGATTTCGTGCTAGTCATGGCTAGGTATGAGGGCCCGGAGACACACATCTTAGTCGTTTTTTATACTTCGTTGTTTCGGTTCGCGACTCTGTGTCTTTGTTATTGTTTAAATAATAACTCAATTAAGTAATTGTTTAATAATTTTTTATTATATAAAAGATTTATTTCATAAATTAAATTATTAATTTTATTGATACTAATTAAAAATAATTTTAATAAATCATATGAAAGAATGTACTAAAGTAAATTTAAAACTTATACTTTATAAGTTTTGTGTAAATTCTTTCAAGCATGTTAAAAAGGATCAGAAGAAGGATGGTGAGGTTTTTTGGTTTGGGATTGCTGAGGAATTAGAATAAAGATCTCACGGCCACAAATACTCAAAGCAGGCCAGCGCTGTATTGACTGAATTTTGTTTACATTTGGACTTCTTAGCAATTGTTAATTCGTGATGGACAAAATAGCAAAGAAAAATAAAAGAACATTTAAACATAAATATTTCTTGTCCTCTGGTAAAAAATAAAATCTCATACCCACCGTGCACAGCATAAATGTTTGTAAAAAATTTCAGTCTTTTTTTTTTTCCTTTTATGTTTATTTTTTTATATTCTGTATTATTATTACTATTATATGTTGTTGTATGATACAAATTGATTAAGGGGTTAAAAATAATATACAAAGACTAAAAATAAGAGGAGTAAAAAAGTAAGTAATAAGGAAATAGAATGAGGCTAAAAAAAAAGAAATAGAGAAAGATTAAAAATAACAAAAATAGAGAGTAAGAATTGAATAAATGAAGTATTATATTTATTAAAAGCTAAAAAAGAATGAACTTTGAGAGGTTGACAATTCCCAAAGTGTAAATTAAAGGGGAAAAAGTTAGTTATAATTTAAAATTAAGAAATGAAAGTACGTGAATTGAATTTTATATTGTATTCCATTCTCTTCAATCTTCTTCTGAGGCCTCTTATAAAAGACAATGACAACGTTTTTTTTTTCTTGAACTTTGTCTTTGATCATAGTAGGAGAATTCAAATTTTGCAACATATTTCATTCTTTTGTGGTGTGTGGTCTTTTGTGAGTTTCCTTATAGTTCATTCAGTTGAATGATGAGCCTTTTCTTGTGTTTAAAAAGAACTTTATTTATTTATTTTATCCTTAATCATTATATATTTTCAAACATATAACAACTAAGAAAACTTTTCAAATAATTATCCTTTTTCGAATTTGAACTTTAATATTTTTCTGGAAGTATAAATTGCTTATAACCACTAAAAATTTAACGATGACCGCCTTTGCCCTTAAGTTTTGATTAGAATTGAAAAGATACGTATTTTTTAAGCTGAAAATGAAATTATAAGATTTAGTAAGAATGAACAAATAAATATATGTGAGTTTTACTAAAAACCAATTTTACAGTAAGTACATTTTATTAAAGTTAAATATAACAAACAAAATGCTTACAACTCAATATATATTTAGTGGATATTTGATTCACTTTATTATTTTTTAAAAGTTTTATAAAAACTCAATTATTATTTGTAAAATGAAAAAATATGTCCTAAACATGCACTTATTGGACATTGATCTGCATCTTTAAATTTATATGTGACACTGATATTCTTTCTTTTTATAAAATCCCTGTTTAATTTTTTCAAATGATATGAGGATAAATTATAAAAATAAAATAATTTTATATTATATATATATATATATATATTCACATCATTTATCGTACTTTTACATCTTTATTTTCACACCAAAAAAATGTTAAATAATTTTTTATAACAAAAAAACAGGTCGTCACTTTTTCAGAAATGGAGTTGAAATATATAATACAACATCAAAATTTTTATATTTTATTTTTTAAAATTGAATTTATGTATTTGAAATTAATAATTTTTATTTAAAATATCAATCATATTAAAAATATAATACATATTTTTAATGAAAATATTATTTATATTAATTATTTAAATTTAATAAAGCCGAACTTTTCTAACATTTTCCTCTAAATATATATATATATATTTTGATGGTACTGCAATGGCGGTAGTACCCATGAGTAAATGACATATGGTCTTCCATTCAGTCATTGATTGTTGATGGGAATTCTTTATGCCTCAGTGGAATTTTATCTAATCTACGGAAAAGAATATTTATTACGATGCGACTTTTTTGTTCTCCAAATATTTCTGAGATTTCTCCAACAAATGCTCTACAAATCTATGCCATCCCCAAATTCCAACACCCCTCTTCCGTATAAAAATTAAACATAAATCATCGTTGGATAGGGTATTGGATACGTGACTCTCATCCCCATTTTAGTTTAAAACCATGTAAACTAAGCTCGAACAGATATTGAACATTCATAGGTTCGCTTGGTGTAACTTATTTCTCTCAAAAATTAATTTTATTCATTTCAAATTAATAAGATTGCGAAACACGTCAAGACATTATAAGATTTTGTTTTTTTTTTTCAGCACAAAGATACCTATACATTTGTGCAAAGAAGATATATATATATATATATATATATATACTTACCTCGTTAATCATATACAAGAATAACTAAAAACATTAATTGAAAGAAAATCTCTCTTTAACCAAAACACAAAGGGACAACCCATTTCCATTTAATTTGTTGAAACAAGAATTGTTTCTAGAAATCGTAATGCCCGTCATATAATGGAATGGTTAGACTCTAATTAAGGATGGCCAACCAAGACCTAACCCACATGATTAGGGCCAACCTGATGCTTACACTTCCTAGTATTTATTAGGTTTTACATATTGATTTACAGAGTTACTTCAAACACCAGAAAACTTCTTATCTTAGTTATCTCTACAAAGTGCCTTTTAATGAAAGATCCTATTTCCGAGTTTATTAATTTACTGACATTTTTCATAGACAAAAGAAGAATTTTGACGGGAATAGCCAAGGCTCTAGCTTTGTATGCTTATAATAGGGACAAGACCCAATATAGCTAGTACATTTGGGTCAACATTTCAAAGATATTTTTCATATTAATAACCAATACAAGTTGGATTAGGACAGGTGCTGAGCAGCCCTTAAAAAACATAAGATGTTTTACCATATATATTGAAAAGCGTGCTAATCTAGTTTATTACTAATACAAAAGGACGAATTAAGCGTGCCCAAAAGAACACTGGGTGGGAAAAATGCTTTAATCGCGACCTATGAAATAAAAATAAAAAGAAGCTGAGAGATTAAATAAAGTGATAAGATCAGAGAGACAATGTGAAAATGAAATGTTAAATATTTAATGAAGATTAAAAAGGAAAGAAGGAGGTGGGTTCCTTACGCCCAACGCATCTGGTTGGTTCGGCTTCGGAGCTAGGTTCGGTTGAAGACTTTGTGCGGATAAGAACGACTCCAACCCTCTCACTCATCTTTCTCTCTCTAAAACGCCATCTACCGCTTCCAAGTTCTACAAGAACCCATTCCCTCCCTCATAGCCCCCACTCTTCTCTACTTCCCAAACTTCAAAACATACTCTTCTCTGTTTCTCCTCACTCTCTCTCTTAAAAAAATAAATTCTCCCTACCCTCTTTCTCACATTAATTCCAAACTCACAAACTCTATCTCCAATCACTTTGTTCAGGATGGCAATTGAAAATCAAGACACCACTGTCCGAGAAATCAAGCCTAAGAACAGGAGAATCATGGTATATGATATGCATATACTAGATTGTTTCATTCAACTTCCTCTCATTATGTTTTAATGGTCCAGCTAATGTATATGGTCTTTGTTTTCTTTTCTCAAGGTGGAGAGGCATTGGGGTTTTATTGTATTGTGTTCTTTTTCTCTTTCTGATTCAAGTTTTGGCTTTGATTGTGTTTGAATAGGGTGCTGGAGGGCCTGATGATGAAGACAACAGGTGGCCACCATGGTTGAAGCCTTTGCTGAAAGAGAGCTTCTTTGTTCAATGCAAGTTACATGCTGATTCTCACAAGAGCGAATGTAACATGTATTGCTTGGACTGTATGAATGGACCTCTATGCTCTCTCTGCCTTGCCCATCACAAGGATCACCGTGCCATCCAGGTTGGTTGCCTCATTTTGATGAATTTGTCAAAGTTTTGCACAGAAGCTTTGAATCTGACACATTTTTGGTTCAGCTCTCACACAGTCATTGTTTATCAAAATGACTACTTTTCCTTTTATGGGGTTGCTTAGATTCCTTCTTTTTCTGGATTTTTTGGTTAAAAGTCCCACCTTTCCTTCCTTGCACAGATTGGAACTGTCACTAATTGGTTTCTATTTTCAATTTTTGTGCCCAATTGTCCCTTGTCCAACTGCTTCCTGCATTTATCATCTCCTAGAATGGTGTGAAAGTAACCACACAATGAGAGAAAAAATGTCAGCTTTGGGGATATTGTGTTGTTTTCAATGCATGTATCGTGTGTCTAATGTTAATTAATGTTTTGTTTTTGTGGTGTTAACAGATTAGGAGATCCTCATACCATGATGTAATCAGGGTCTCCGAGATTCAGAAGGTGTTGGACATCACTGGTGTCCAAACCTACATTATCAACAGCGCAAGGGTGGTGTTTTTGAACGAAAGGCCTCAACCAAGGCCTGGGAAAGGGGTCACAAACACTTGTGAAGTCTGCGAGCGTAGCCTTCTTGACTCTTACCGGTTCTGTTCTCTGGGTTGCAAGGTACTGCTTTACCAATTACCACCAATGTCTTTGGTTCATTTGCTTAAGCTTTTCTGACCAAGGATTTTGAAGAAGAAAAAATTGGAAAAATGGGACTTTCATTTGCTTTGTTTCGAAGCAAGCAGAGAAAAGTTTTTAGTTTAACTGAGTTGACTTTTTCTCACAGCCATGAAAATGGGTATACCCTTTGATTCACGGGACTCTTGAATCCTTCAATTTATTGAATTCTTTTGCCTTAATTTCCTCAGAGCATTAAACAACCACCCATGTTTGAAACTTTGGGATTTGAATATTGACTTTTTAATCTTTAATTTGTCCTCAACAACCTTACGTTTAATTGTAGTACTCCTATTCAATTTTGATTGTCTTTTGGGTTCATTAATCAATGTGATACTATGATATGCAGATTGTTGGAACATCTAACAACTTCCAGAAGAAGAAGCAGCAATCAGCGGCAATGGCATCAGATTCTGAGGATTCATACAGTAGCAACAGCAGCCATGGGCGGCACAAAAACTGCAAAGTTCACAGCTTCACACCATCTACGCCACCCCCAACTTCAGTTAATTACAGAACGGCCAAAAGAAGAAAGGGAATACCACACCGAGCCCCAATGGGGGGACTAATCATAGAATATTAGATACTTGGTATTTTTAGGTTATTTGCTATAATGCGCCTGATATATTATACTAATGCCAGTGTTTCGCGTCGTTTCATCATTTCCAATACACAAGCTCTTCTAAGGCCTGTATCGGAAGTGTCACCGTCCGTTCTTTATGCTATGCGTAGTAGTTTCTAGCGTTTTGTATATATAGAAAGTCCAATAGAAGTGGAAAAGGTTGAGCAAGTAGAAAAATAAGACACCTGTGAAATAGTTGATGGTGCAGTGATAAAAAAGAATGGCGTGTAGCAAAATAAGTAAGGCTCTTTTCAACCTAGTTAAGATGATGATAAGGACTTATAGGTTTGGTTTCTAGAGTAATTATACCTAAGTTTTGGGGTTGAGCATGTAAATAGTGGCCTAGTGAGGTGGGGAAAGAAGACAAACGACAATGTACTTCTTGGACAATAGGTGGTATGTCTATATTATATCAAAATAGCAAAATAAAAGAGATATTATTACATTTTCTTTCTACATGCTACATGCACTTCAATTATTTTATATGTATATATTTTCACTTTCTTTATTTCGAAAGAGAAATTTCCCAATGTAAGTTGTGCTGAGTGGCGGTGAATGCTAGTGGAGGCGAGGCCAATATAAGCTTCCAATACGGTGGGGTCCACTTTAGCCGGTTTATTTGGGGGCGGGGTCGTCAGCGTGTGCACGTGTCGCATTCTGACTGGTGCCCGTGAAAGCGTTCTATTGGTTCTCGAAAATGGAGAATAGGTCAGCCGCCTCAACGAGAAGAAAAGTACGATTATTCTAGGGGCGGTTCCCTCTACGCTGTGGGGTCCCTACTCATTTTGATCAGACGGCTGCAGTTCAGCATCATTAGACGGCTGTGATCTCTTGATCCACCCTCAATTATGGGGGTATCGCAGGGCTCAGAATGCTTGATGTCAACTTTTCATTAGTGGCCGTATAAATATAACGCATTAGCTAAAGCCTACATGGGTTTGTCGTAAACTTAACTGGTTAGTGCCACTTATTGGGAACTTTCTTAGCTTGGCAATTTGTTGATGGGTCTCATCATAATGGTGATAAAGTTAAAGTGATTAATGGGGTCATTATAAACGTGATTTTTTCTCCCAGAATTGGGTTCGAGTCTGATTGAAGTTATGCATTTGTGTTAAACTTCCTCAATTAGAAAGAAATTTGTCACCCCCTTCGAAGAGAAATAACCTAATCACGGTCAAAGTTTTGATTGGTGTAACGTGATATGTTTCCTTATGAAGAATGTCTGAGATTTTAAGGAAAATGTTCCGACTTGTTTAATTAGTTAATGTTTCTTAGGAGTGTAAGATTTTAGATTGTCATCGTTTTTTATTAAAGAAAGAAAAAAGATTCCCGAGTTTTATTCTTAGGCGGGTGCTTTCATAAAATTTAAAGAAACACTCATCGTTAGTTACAATTAGCACACTCACTCACATAGATCTCAATTAGTAAAACTCGAGCATACAATACAACTATTTTGTAAGATCGTTATATTTTATTTACGTAACAATATACTTTTTGTCTTTTTCTTCTTTATAAAAACTTCTAATTTAATGTAGTTCCTGATTTCAATGTTAGTTTATAAAGAAACTAATAAGAGTACATGAAAATTGATTCTATAGCCTTTTTGGAAATGAAAAATATAACTATATAATTATATAAATAATGTTAGGATTTTTTGTATCAGTGCATAAAAATAATTATTATAAGTACGTGATGTATGCTGATAAATATTTTAAATTAATTTAAAATTTTTATGATAAATATAATAAATATTTTTATTACCTTTTATATTTAAATCTAACGTTCTAAAGTCACTGTCAGTATTTTCTTCTTGGTTCATAACATCTTTATTTATGCCATTAATAATTATTAATTACATACACGACGTTTCTATCTTTGACCCCGTTCCATAAAAATAATAATATTAACATTCTAAATTTCCCATTCTATCCCAGCAGGTAAAGGCCGTTATGCGTCTTGTCATCCTGTCATCCATTCGCTTTTCTTTTCTTTACTGTCCTTTCTTTTTTTTTAAATAAAAAAGATTATTATCTATTATTTTGTTAACTGTATTTTAACACAACATGAAGTTAAATTTACATGATAAATATTTAATTTTATAAAATTTAACTGTATCTTAAAATTCAATACACTAAAAATATTTCATTATATAATTTAATAATTTGTTTATTATTACATATCCTTAAATACACGTATAGAAAAACTGTTTTACTAATTTAATTTTAAATAAATATCTATTTTAGTCTTTCACATTATAAATTTCATTTTTTATTTTTGAACTTGATGACAAAAAATTTACTTAATTTTAAAAAACCATTTCATTGTAATTAATTTTCTTACTGTTGTTTTATATAAAAAAATTAAAATTATTTATTAAAAGTAATAATTAAAGTAAGATTTTTGTGCAGTGAAAGAATCAACGACCTGTTTAGAGTAGTTGCAAGTTTTAAGCATTTTAGATTCAAACAAAATTTTTAAAAACAAAATATGTTTGATTAAAATTATTTCTAATTCTATTTTAAAACAAAAACAAGTAATTCTGTTTTAAAATTATTAATTTAAAAGTAAAAGCATTTAACTCTTATTTTATTTTTAAGAAGCAAATATATTTTCATATTATCGTTAATTAATGTTATCACTCAACTATTATTACAATCGTTATTAATTAATCATTATTATTATCATTACTTTTACAATAAGTCAATTTTATTATCATTATTATTTAGTCATTGCCACCGTAGATATTATACTTAACATTTCCTACTGCAATGACAGTTACCATTGTTTCTTTTTACCAGCAGATCTACTGTTATTGCCATCACATCCCCCTCTCTTATCTGCCCTCACGGTAAAAATATCATTTAACAAGCTTAGTATAAAAAATAAAAAATTATTTCGTGATTTAAGTTTAAATTTTTTAATATTTCAAAATTTAAAATTAACAATAATTTCAAATAAGAATTAAAATAATAAATATTTATAATTTATAAAACTAAGATAGATATTTACTTTTTGTCAGCGAATTCTTTATTGCCTAAGACCGACTTTGATATGCTTTACCGCTCACGTGCCACCGTCACACGTTTAACGTGGAGAAATGCCTGTTCAACACGTTACTTTTTACTTCTTTCGTGTTTCCTGTTTCATATTTTCTTTCGAAATTCTCTCAGCGCGAAAATTATCTCCAGGCATTAAAGTACGCCCTGCTTCCTATTCTGGCATCACATAATGATTTTTATTTTGAAACAAATTTTCTGGTGAACAATTTGAACCCATTTTAACTCCAGCTCTATAAAGGTGTATGTTTGATTAAATGATTTGAATAATCGAACGAAAGCACAGCATAATTAAAACGCTTGATTCACACAAAAATATAATTAAAGGGATAATAAAGAGGTGAAGAAAAGAAAGTAAGAAAGAAAGGAGCTTTAATTTTAGGTAATGTGGCATACCCAAGAAGGTGATACATGTGTTGATTCTTCCAGGGTACATTGTCGACACGTGGAATGGTCCTTCTACTTTTGCAGTAACAAGACCAATGTTTTAGTTGTTTGTGGTAAGGTAATGATTTTGAAGTTTGAGAAGGGTGGTGGTGGATGACGCGTGGCTTGACGTGTACGGGGGCAATAGTGTGAAGGTAGACTTGTAGTTGTGGGGTGACAGAGGGTGACACGCGGCAAAGAATCTTCCAGGTAATTTACCGAGAACCGTCCAACGCATCACTGCCTACGTAGTACGCTAGAACATTCCCTTTAGCCTTGTTAAGGAAAGGGTTATATTCTCCTACAGATTTGAATGCCATCCATTCCGTGCACCCCAGCCACATTTGCCTACTCTCTCCTAAAGCTCTACCATGGTATTCAGTGGACACAAGAAAAGCTAAAAGTTTCAATCTTGCACTTAATTTCAACAGGTTGGCTTTTTATTTGACTTGGGGGAAAAAAGGGCAAAAGGAAAACTATAATTTACACACCGAGTCTGACTATATTGCAAGATTATTTACTCCTAAAAACTAAAATCACCCCACATCATTGTTTCTTCATCTGATTTTGGATGAGCATTTGTGAAATAAATTGGTACGTGTGAAGCTGAATTAAAGAAATCAAAGGAGAAAATCAAACGCGATTAGGTGAGACGGAAGGCAACAAAGCCATGTTGACAAGGCAAAAATCCTAACTAAAAAACCGTTTTGGGGGTTACATCACTTGTCAGTTCACACTTGTCACCCCACTAATTAAGTTAATACGAGACAAAGCTTACTAATAGGGTTCCCCACATCAATAATAGAAAAAGGATCACATCTTAGATTAGGTGACCCTATTTACAAAAGTTTCATCCGTGCACATGTGATTTAAGCCTTCATCTTTCATTTTAAGTCGTCACTGACGTTGGCTAAGTGGTAAATTAATTAAATGGCTAGCTTGTAATGGAAATGCTGTTCACATTACTGGCAATTCAACAAGCTTGAGCTTTAAATATATCTCCACATGCCAAACTTTCCTATATTACCCTCTTCGTTATAAGAACTTTTCCGCTACATTTGTGCAAAATTTATCTAATATACCTATATTGGGAAAACATTCAGTTACTTCTGAACTCAACAGTGTTGTCTGTAGATCTTTCTTCCTTAAATAGCTAATTTATTTCGAAGAACTCTGTATCCAGTTGGTTGGTTTCGAGTTTTGCTGTGTGATTTATGCCGTCCATTTTAATATTTTAAAAAGAAAGGGAAAGTAAATGATTATAGAAATTTAAGGTAAAAAAAATCCTCATGCACAAAAAATTGAGACTACTGTATATTAGGCTAATACATCAGCATGCAATCATTCTTGGCACCAATTTCGTTACCTCGTAAGAAAATGACCAATGATATGCAGCTTAATATGGTTACAACCTACAAGAGCAAGATTTTTCAGATCAGAACTCGAGTTCCCTCTGAAAATAGCTATCGTAGAAGAGAAATTCCATACCAATTATTGAGTCAATTACCGACTAAAGAAAATTTCTTAGTACAATATCACAGGAAAAGTTTACTCATTGAAAGAAATACTCATCCATATTGCGCCACAAAACATACAGCCACAAATTATTAAAAGCATTATTTTTTCACATTATCGGTGCGTTTAAAGTAGTTTATACATAGATATAGTCATATAGACTCATACAACTTTTTTTTTCCTATCATGGTGGCTGCCATGTAAGAGCACATTATTAGACAGTGCGAAAGTAGTGGTTATATATATCACTCACCCTTCTACAAATTTCCCTAGGGTAGATTAGCTTCTTTCTTTTGATGACTGGCTTTATAACACCACCCTTTCTCACAAAAGGTTCCCCAACTATACATAACTTATTTTATAATAACTTCCTTTAAAGTGTAAACTCCGCTTTTGTTTTTCTTTCCTTGTTTTCTTTGAAAGAAAAAG